CCCCCCCCCCCCCCCCCCTCCCCCCTTTTATCTTTTTACGAAACAAAAAGATCAGTTTAAGGTTAGCTCTGCCTTTGTCTATATATAGTCATATTAATAAAGGCAAGCACTCTGGATAATATGCTTAGGGTTCTTTCATTGCATCATTTTGATGGAAAATGCATCCTCTTTTTTAGTGCGTTTTTTCAAAGCCCAACTGGTTCACTCAGAAATGGCTCAGCAGGGCAGGGAAGTGCACAAGTTTTCACTCAGTACCAAATGAGTTAAGTAATTTTATATGAAGTAATCAATACAAGCTAAAAGTCTAACAATTGCTGATAGTAAGAAAAATCATTTTTGAATGAACCTGTATTTGGGAAAAACATTAAAACAAAACCTGTTCAGCAAAATCGTTCTCAAAAGAACAATTAAAGAAATTTAAATTCAAGTTCAAAGTTTGTAAGAACAACAGAAACAGATAAAATACTTCGAGTTGTCAGTGTTGTCAGGTTGAATGTACTTGATCAAGTCAAGCATGCGAGTATATGTTCTACTTTTCGTGATTCATCCAATATTCTGTGGCCTTTTCAACAATCCATTTCACACTTTTACAATAACAGAATACAAAGCCAAAATTTCTCAAAGTTTATTCACTATACTCTCTACCAGCTTATATTGTAATCCAAAGACATATATGCATATTATATAGGAAAACTTGAGTAGCTAGACATCTTTTCAAATAAGACATAATTATCACCACTGATATAGATCTAACAAAAAGGAGTTGTAAAATAGATGCTAAATCAGGTAAAACATTTAGATCAAGTACGTGCACATATAACACAACTTAAGATTCTGTCTGTTTGAAAAACAAAGAAAACTATAAGATTAAAGGAGGTCAATTCCCTTACCCCTGCAAACGGTGTTTACTTACATATGGGAAAGAAAAAAATGTGAGATGCCAACGAGTAACACAATAATGCACTGGCAGATGATGTGGTCAGAGAACATCTTGTCATGCTTGTGGGAGAACTGAAAGAGAATGCACCGAAACTCTGGTCAAGAAAAGGCACCAAAATATATTATTGAACTTTATTGTTCAAGTAAAATATTAGAAGCATGAGCAAATCTAAGACATCTTTTCTGATTAATGAATCAATCAATCAATCATTCAGCCATTCAATGAATCATTCTATGAATGAACCAACCGACCGACCAACCAACCAACCAACCAACCAACTAACCAATCAACAAATCAATCAATCAACTAATTACCTTATCAATGTCTTAAGTAAATGCTGTAAGTGTATGAATAGGAAATTGTCAGAGAACGATGAAACGACAAATGAAATTCCGATACAGAATTAGAGAGAACAAATAAAATGATTAAAATGCTTAGCTTTACCAGCTGTGGGCAAACAAAATTAGACCTACATGGAAACTCACATGGATTGTGAATGAATGAATGAATGAACGAATGAATGAATGAATGAATGAATGAATGAATGAATGAATGAATGAATGAATGAA